CTATCTGTTCATTAAAATACAAGCTTAAAATCAACTGTAGTTTCTGATTACAACACCTATTATCAAGAAACTATTAACTGTTAACACCTATTATCAAGAAACATTTTGGACTTGAAAATGTTGAAAACTAAAGTTTTTATGGGTTAATTTTGACCCTTTGCACTCAGAGACATCTCACAGATCACCTTCAGCAGCTTGACCACACTTTTTTACAAAATAGCAAAAAACCAAATCACTTTATATTAAATAGTATAGTGTTAGAACCATTTTATTATAGTGATATTTGGATTATAATAGAATTTTTGACATTGACAAACTTATTTATGACAAAAAATCAAATTTTTATCTTTTATATTTTTCTAATCTGTAGTAACATGTGAAACAGTCATTGACATGCACTGGTTCATCCATACAAGTTGTATAATAGTAATTTGTTTGATGTATTCAACCTGGTGTTTTCCTATTCAAGCAGACATTGCAGTCTCGTTTTCTTCCTCCCACATTAATAATATGTAATTTACTGTCCAGTCTGTGCAACACTATGAAAGCACTTAACACATTGTCTTTTACATGACACCAGCAGATATTTTTTAACTTATATCTCAGTAGATATTCCATCTCTTTATTTGCTTTTCTATGCAATTTGAATGGACAACTTCAAGGAAACATACATTTTTAAAAAATTTGCGCTGGCATAAGTTTGTCCTGTATAATCACCAGCAATCTTTTTAAGGGGACATCTGAGTGCAAAGGGATAACATTTTTGGTAACTTTAGGAAAAGGATCTTTTTTTAAAAAGCAAGAATAAATCTTTTGTCCTTCTGAAAAGGGTACCATTATTATAATTTTATACTTGTGTCAAAGCAGTATTATTATCCTAGTTAGATCATAAAATCCTTGCAGACAAGAACCATGTCATAGGCTGTTCATCTTGCGGTAGAAGAAAGCATATATACACCATAAATATTTTTTATTAGTAATTTAAATCTCAGTTTAGTTGAGATAACTCAGTTTTCTGTAGTAGATGCATTATTTGAAATGTTTTAGGGGAAAATGCATGTATTAAATATTGTACTATTTTGTTACTTTAATATGATGTACCTTCTGATTATAGTGGAAAAATCCTTAACCTCCACAATAATAAAATCATGAGAAATATTATATCTTTTACAACTATACATTTACATTTATAATTTCAACTTGAAAATATGATAGTGTTAGCAGTGCTTATTGTGTGACTTCGCCCCCTCTTTTTTTTTTTTTTTTTAGTTCTCTTAGGCTTTAGGTTACTCCTAATTTGGTAAATAATTATTGAATATCTTGTAAGAAACAGAAATGGGCTGGAGGAGACAGCTGTCCAGAGTGCTACGAATAGACAGATGGGCAAGGAAGCACAGAATATGTTTGGATAGTAGTAATAGAAAATTTAATTTCTTGAAATCAGCATGTATTTGCTGAAAGGGTAGTATAACATAATAAGACTATAACTCGAACAGATATGAGATTGAATTCCAACACTGACACCTTGGATAAAATGTCTATTTATTCATCACTGAAATTATTATTATTGTGTTTTAAAATTCTTTGAGTATTTGATGTTAAATGCACAGCTTAGTATCTGAAATTTTTGAACATTGTTTAAAAACATAGAAAAATGTAAACGATCTTGTTGAAAAAAGAAAACATCTAAAAAATTGAAAGATAAAACCGTATATAATATACTGACATGTGAAGCACTGATGTAGGGAGCATGAAAAATAGCAAATGTTTTTACCCTTAAAATGTAGGTAAACATCAGGTAAAATTCATTCCTCATACTTAAGTATATTGCTCCTGTGGACCTTCCTACAGAACTATTTTTAAACAGGTTTTCTAGAACCACAGAGTATCTCACTCATGTAAGAGTTTCTTATATTGTTTTTTGTCTTTGTTTTTTGTCCTTCTGAACTACAGTAGCAAGAAACCAACCCATTGTGTGTTTGTAGAATTTTACGTTGTAAGTCACTTTACATGTTTTTTTCCCTCAAATTCATACCAAGAAAATGACTTGTTGCAAATACCCATCTTTTCTCTGTTATACTTACACACTCTGTCTAGACAGTTTTATGAGAGTTACAAAGGAAATATTAATTAAGCAAACAGGCCGTTTGACCTGAAGATGAAGATATTTTGTTTTCCAAGTAATTTTCTAATTTGGTTTTCTGAAATACTTTAAGGAGAAAATTTGCCCTGAAACCAAACTTGTGTCAGATAAACTTTGGTTAATTTATAAGCATTTTTTAGTAATTTCTAGTCTGTACCTTTAATTCCAGTATTTCTAAAACATCTGTTAGATAAAGCTTAACATTTATGTACTGAAAAAAATAGGCCTGTAGGTTTATACTGCTTAGGCAATATTTTTCATTTAGTTTTATGTAACAGGATACCGTGTCTTCTAGTTTGGGGAATACCTTGCACAAAGACTGACCTAATAGATACTGATTTTTAAATTACTGATCTGTTGATTTTTCTATTATTCATCTAACTTGGGTTATTAAATATAAATTAAGGATTTCTACAAAGGTGGTGCTAGTGAGCCTACAGAAATAGTGCAACTGGAAAATAAATCATCAGAGGATTGTACACGCTTTCCTTAGGTCATAACATAGTTTACATCACTTAGTCATGGGTCATCTGTTATCTGCTCAGAGAGTTGTTTCTCTGTCCACCCCCACCTCACTCTGAAGTTCCTACTTCCTGCCCAGGCCCACGTTGCCCATTGCTTCCCGGTTAAAGCTTTCCCTGATTCTCCTGCTCCACCCTCTCCCTGAAGAACGAATTCTTCTTTTTCCTTGCATTTATTACATCACTCAGAAACAACAGACACCTATCTTGCTCCTCTCTTTACCATTTTTATATCCTTATTGCCTGTCCGTCTGTCTGTCTTTCCCATTAAAATGTAAGCTTCCTAAGAACAGAAACATTTGTTTTATTGGCTGCTAAAACCCAGTGCTTAGAATAGTGCCTAGCATATATAGGTGCTTAATATTTGTTGAAAGAATAAATGAATGAAAAGGATATACTTATTAAGGGAAAATTTATGCATTGTTTCCATTTTTAAGGTGCTAAGTGAATACTTTTTCTTAGATTGTTCTTTATAGTTGATGTCCACCTGCACGAAAGGTGTTCCTTTTCTCCCTTTCCTAAAAGTTGTGTTACCTAGGAAATATTCTATCTAACCATTGGTGATAGACTTCAAACATGTAAAATTCTAGGAGGAGGTCTATTGCTTAAAATCTTCAGGAGTCTGTAAAGAATACCAGGTTGTCTCTCAAGAGTGAGTTTGCGTAGTTTATCCCACTGACCTTGAGATGAGGGTTTGCTTTTGCCCAGTGCAGTCCTCTAACTACACTGCAAGTTTATGGGCTTAGGCAATAGCTCTGGAACTGCTATTTTCAGTGCTACCCATTGGGTCAGGGCTCACCTTCAGGCCACTTTCAAAAAGACATAAAGCTTTAGCCGGGCTTGGTGGCTCAGCCTGTAATCCCGCGCCTTTCGGATGCTGAGGTGAGTGGATTGCCTGAGCTCGTGGGTTCGAGACCCGCCTGGGCAGCAAGACCTCATCTCTACAATAAATCAAAAAATCAGCCGGTCGTGGTAGCGCATGCCTGTAATTCCGGCTACTCAGAAGGCTGAGGTGGAAGGATTGCCGGAGCCCAGCAGGTCGAGGCTGCGGTGGCCGGGAGCGGCCACTGCACTCCAGTCTGGGCAACACAGTGAGACTCCAACTCAAAAAAAAAAAAAGACATAAAGCTTTACAAAAGATATTTAGGTTGTTACTTTTAGCCCCTGAACAGGACCAGAAGTCTAAGAAAAAATTCTAGAGAATGCTTCAGCTAAAAAGCATTAGACCGAGAAAAAGGATGCTGAAATAAACAAAACTCAGAAAATAGAGCAGCAAAAGAGGTTTTTAAGAAAAGGGAGGGACAAAAAGGCAAGGTAGTCATTGTTTTGTTAGCTAGAAATGAGTCATGACTGAATATGGAATTAATTAGTGCTAGTGATATACCTATGTTCAGATGGGAGAAAGCCATGTATTCTAGAGGAAAATTACACATGGTAAATTCATCACTTCTTGTGTTTAATTAAAGTATCAGAAGACTCTAGATGTATGCAGATTCTTTGAACCTCTTTATTATTTTATAGGCAATGCTATCTTTCATTAAACACCAGTATACTCAATATGCTAAAAATTGATTTGTTGAGTATGTTAAGCTACATTTTATGATCATTAAAAGACACCTCTACAGAATGAATATGATATTTTCCAAAAGTTAGTCTATAAATTACTAGAACATATCCTAAAGAAACAACTTAAATGACCGTTTCTCAGAACATCTCATAAAAGCCTGTCTGTCTAACTAGGTTTGATTAAAGTGCCAATAATACATATGCCATAGTAAGCCTAAGAAGCTACTTTTAAATGTAAAATAATAATTACCAGGCACTGAACAAAGTGATTTACATACATAATCTTACTTAACCCTCACAGCACTATAAGACATGTATTGTCTCTCTCTTATCATAGAGGATACTAAGGAAAGAATATTCAGAAGCTTGCTCAGGTCACACAGCAAGCAGTGCAATCAGGATTTGAATTTAGATCCAAATGTCTCAAAACTCTTACTCCCTACCATTATACTATCCTACCTTTATATGTAACAAATACACCTATTTATACGCTGCATATACCAAGCGACAGCTAAATTTTCTACAGAATTCACATATATTCCAACAGAACTAAGGACTTGTGATAACTGTAAGATAAGGTCATTTATCAATGCCCCAAAGGAGGTATGGATAGATTACCATAGGGACAGAAACATTCATAAGTAGTGATTTACAAACAAACCTGGAGCACAGTTATTTGTGTGTTTAGGATAGTGTGGATTTTGCTTTTTGCTTGTTGATATAGTTTCCTGATATTTGTATTTTTTTTTTTTAATAATCAATAACAGTTCACAGAAGAAAAGCTTGGCCAGGCTGAGAAGACAGAATTGGATGCTCACTTAGAGAACCTCCTTAGCAAAGCTGAATGTACCAAAATATGGACAGAGAAAATAATGAAACAAACTGAAGTCTTATTGCAACCAAATCCAAGTAAGAAATTTTTTACCTTTTATCTACCTTAAGTACAATTGGTTGGTTTTTTAATGTTTAAAAAAATTGTTAATAACTATTTGAAAACAGAATTTTTTAATTGTGACTTCAGGGTCAGTGAGTGGTTTTGTGTGCACTTTTTGAAGAAGAGGTGATAAACACTGCGTTTGTGTATCCTCTAACAAATTTACAAATGACGTATTTCAGCAAATCCCATTGAAATCTCAATTTCAGGCAGTGGCTTTGAATTTTAAGAGTTACGAGGGGGCTGTGAGGATAAATATGTTTTCTTCTTTTATCAAGGGAAGAATTGTTCCTAAATAATTAAGACAAAGTTATACAGATACTTAGTTATGATTTTTAATGTTTAAGTTTTACATTTTCACAGAAGTTATTTTGTTTGATTTTCAGACAACTGTGAGGCTTTTCAGATTACTCAGTAAGGTACAAATAAGGTGCACAATAATTGTTTATTGAGTGAAGCAAGTTTGCATCTTGTTCAATGTAGCATAGCTAGTTAGAAGTGGAACTTAGACTAGAACCAGGTGTATTGACGTCCAGTCTTTTCACTATGAGCTTTGAATATCAAAACTGAGGTACAGAAGTGCAATGAATGCTTTCCTTCTCTTTTCCCTAGTGTTATTGTTACCCTGTTGTGAAACGCCATAAGTTTATTTTTAGATACTAACTTAAACTTCAAGCATTATTCAGATATTAGTAGTAATTATGTATCATTCTAGCTAAATTGTAGAGACCTTTTAAAATAAGTCTTTTACACTGTGAGTGAAGTCTATTATTTTTGGACACCATGTAGTATTTCTTATTCACTAAAGCCATTTAAAATATATACCATGGCACTTTTAAAAAGTAATAGACATTTGCTTCTCTTGTTCCTTGTTTTATCCAGGGCGTCCCAATTTATAGTCTGTCCTAAACATGTTTTTCTGAATGACTGATAAGCTCCTTCACAACTGGTAAACAGGAAAATATAATACAGTTCCCTCTCACCCCCATTTTGTGTCATGAAGTAGTAACAGGACCATTTTTGCATTTTGTTTGTGGTCTGCTTATGCAATTCCATAGATTTTGAGTGGTAAGACACACCCTTTTTTTTCTTGTAAACCCTGAGTTATTTTTGGCATCTGATTTTCTAGAAACTAGGGTTTTTCAAAAATATTATGCAGAAATATATATTACATTATAACTGAATTACCTGTGTGAGATTTTATGATGACTTATTAAATGACCTATTGAAATTAAACATTTATTTATTAATATGACTAATGATAACTGATTAAAAGTTAACATAGGATTCAACTTTAAACTTTTGACTAGATAGGTAGAAAAGCAATCAAAAATAACAATCTTTCAACATTCAGAAAATGAAATTCTGAAGTTTAATTGTTTTCTAAATGGTTATGTTTTGAAAAGACTCATTTTGGCTTTAAAATTTTTAAAGTTTTTAAATTTCTGCTTAAAAGCTATTCTAATTTTGCACCAAAATCTAACACAAAAACAAGTATAATTCCAACACCCTATTTTATGTATAAACCTTTTTTTGCCAACTCCTGAGATATTTGTTACTGGTTCAGCTCATTTTTGAAAATTTTAATTTGCTGTTTGAAACTTCCAATATGTTGCAGTCTGTGTGAGGTGCTTAGAGGGAACCTATGTGACTTAGCATTAATTTGTATAGTTAATTATTGTTTCTGGAAACTTCAGCCATTTTCTCATCCCTGAAATACCTCACTGTTGGACAGCCTATGAATGTTAATTTCTTTGGTCTTAAATGTTAAGCTAACAAAGTGTTTATTCAGCTTTTATTGGTTTTTTTTCTTTCCATTTATTCTAATGTTCTGTTACTGCATTTACCCTTTTCTCTTGTACTTCAAACTAATTTTTAATGGTGAAATCTTTTGAGTGAATAGTGCTCAGAGATAACATCTATATACCTATGTACATTGAATATAATTAAATAAGCTAAAGCCAAGGCTTCATATTGCTGATCTGTCTATGGACTGTTCAAGGCCTGGATTGTTCTAGTCCTTAAGTACTTGTCTATATTTAGACTCTGGACAAGAAAAAGAAAGAGAAGAGAACACATGCTCATGCTAAAACCTGTCAGATGTGAATCTTTAGCTCATCTCAGTACTTTATACCCATATTTTCCTAGCTGGAAATAAATTATAAGCATATATTCCAAATTAAAAATTAAAGTTAAAAAATGCTAAAAATAGAGCAAAAGGCACTTTCACTAAATATTGATTACTCTCAATCCTCTTCTTAAAATCCCATAAACTAATCAAATAATAGTTTTAGCTTTATTTTTAAATGCTTTTGTGCCAAGATATTTTATCAGATTTTTAAAATATAATATTTTAGAGTTATATAATACTCTTACATAAATAAAAATATATTAAGATATGTGCTTGAGGCCGGGCTTGGTGGCCCAGCCTGTAATTCCAGCACTTTGGGAGACTGAGGTGAGTGAATTGCCTGAGCCTACGGGTTCGAAACCAGCCCGGGCAACTTGGCAGAACCTCATCTCTACAAAAATAAAAAAATTTAAAAAGTAGCACACACCTGTAGCTCTGGCTACTTGGAAGGCTGAAGAGAAAGGCTCGCCTGAGCCCAGCAGGTCGAGGAGGCTGCAGTGGCTGTGAGCGTGCCACTGCACTCCAGCCTGGGTAACAGAGTGAGACTCCAACTCAAAAAAAAAAAAAAATGTGCTTGAATGAATGCTAATTTCATATTAAAGAGGTAATAAATGGCTGGTAGGGGAACAAAACAGTCTTTTACATTGTTTAGTTTTTTCGAAATCCTTGATAATTTTAACCTTTCTCCTAGATGCCAGGATAGAAGAATTTGTTTATGAGAAACTGGATAGAAAAGCTCCAAGTCGTGTAAACAACCCAGAACTTTTGGGACAATATATGATTGATGCAGGGACTGAGTTTGGCCCAGGAACAGCTTATGGTAAGTGAAAGGTAAAAAGTTCTGTTAAGAATTATTTTTACATTTAGATTTTCACTGCTTGAGATATCATTAGCATATTAATAGAATCATTTTAACTTCAAATTTATTATGCTAAAATTTTTGATGAAGAGAGAAATATAGTGACCAATAAATATGTATAGCTCAATTTATATTTAATATAGAGAATTCAAATCTTTTGTAGTTCTAAAAAGTTAAATGAATTATTCACTTATACTCCCATTGATCGTACCACACCTATATTGTAGTACCTCTTGTAGTATATTGCAGTTATCGTTTACCTGTGTGCCCTACTTGATCTTTTAAAAGTTTTTTTAGGGCTTAAAAATGTAAAAGAACTTGGGAACATAGTAAATGTTCACAAATCACTAGTGCTTTTGTTATGGTTATCTCAGAATGCTTAGATTACATTTCATTTCTTTTTTTCTCTTAATATATTTCAGATTTTCAATAGTTGTGGTTTACATTTACACTATCTTTATTAGTTACTGTACTGACATTTTAAATGTACAACCTGAAGCTCAAAGTTACACATCTTTATTATCACTCAGATCTAATTTTCTCATAACATAGACTATTTGAGATTTCTGTAGCTTCTTTTCCTGTTGTTTATGGCTAATAATTCTCTTTATTAAGACATCTTTCACTTATGAAAAAGAAAAAAGATGACATCTGCAAGAACTTGGTCTTTAGTTAGATATGAAATGGTAGATTAAATGAGTTTCTACACGTATGAGGTCCAACGATTAAGTTCTCGAACTCATCCTAGAAAAAGTGCCACATACCTCATTGCTGAATATCACTGTGGTCACCTTCGAAGTTCTTCCCTTGGGAAGCTTTGCACCAGCCTGTCAAAGCAATTTTGGAACTCTTTTTCTGGAGTGGCCATCAGAGCTGTTGTTGTATTACCCTTGATGTCCTCAATGTCATCAAATGTCTTCCTTTCACTATTTCCTTTATCTTTGGTTAAAGAAAAAGTGACTGGGGGCTCTATCAGGTGAGTAGGAAGGGTGTTCCAGTACTTTGTATAGGGCTCCAGTTATTTGTACGGTGCTGCCAACGTAAGCACCTGGTGGCAAGTTCGTGAACTTAATTGTCAGACCTCAGCAAATAACCACAGCTCTGATGGCCATTCCAGAAAAAGTGTTCCAGAATTGGTTTGGTGGGTGGACTAGGCACTGGCCTCAGTGCATAACTTCCCAAGGGCAGTACTTCAAAGGTGACCATAGTAATATTCAGTAATGAAACATGTAGCACTTTTTCTAGAATGGTTCATGAACCTATTTGTTGGACCTTGTAGTTCTGACTTACAAAATAGTTCATAAATTCTGCGGTTAAATGAGTTTAAAGTTTTAGTGGTTATCTTTATATCAAAAGAAAGTAACTGAAATACTTTATAATGCCATTATTCCATTGACCAGCTGTTTAGATGTACATCTTTGAAATTTTACATTGTTTTCTTCAAAATCTAATTTTTCCAGAAGTTTGAAAATGCTTTAAATTTAAAATAGGCTGGATGCAGTGGTTCACACTTATAATCCCAGCACTCTGGCAGGAGGATCCCTTGGGCCTAAGAGTTTGAGACCGGCCTTGGCAGCATAGCGAGACCTCACCTCTACAAAAAAAAAAATAATAAATTAACCCAGCATGGTGGCATGCACCTCTAGTCACAGCTACTCGGGAGGCTGAGGCAGAAGGATCACCTGAGCACAAGAGGTCGAGACTGCAGTGAGCAACAATCATGCCTCTGCACTCCAAGTTAGACACTGGAGTTACAAAGTAGGTGAAGGAGACCCAGCTTCTCCTTCACTTAGCTGAAGGCCTGAGTGGAACATGAACGTTGGAAAGCTTTCTAGGTCTTCCTTTTGCAGTCTCCTTAATCTGTTTGCATCTCTTATAATTCCACGGAATGTACCCTGGTTTTTGGAATTGAGCTTTGTGAACCTGTTACCTATTAGTAATTGATGGTTGCTAAAAATGGAGTATTTCAGGCATTGGGCTAAGCACCATACTTCATATGTGTGTGTGTGTGTGTGTGTGTGTGTGTGTGTGTTATTTCGGTAAATCCTCACTCAGATCTTGCTTACAATGGAAATTGTTTTATCTCCGTTTTAAAAACAGTGAAACTGAGGGGCTTGGAAAAGTTAAAATAATTCATCCACAACCACCCAGCTAGTAATTCAAATGCAGAGTAATTCAAATGTCTATATCCAGAGACAGAGTTTTTAACTACTGCTACCAATCAAATCCAGTCTTAATTCTAACATGGAGAGACTAAGATCCTCAGAGCTACAGCGTATTAGAGATAAAACTGGGAGGAGAACCCCTGGAGTTCTACTTTCTTTCTACTCTACTTCCCTATTTTACCTGTCCTATTTAAATATCAGGGTATATATGTTCTAAAACATAGACTTCTTAAAACTAAAGATATAAATATGAACTATTACGTGTAGCTGCTTGAGACACTAAGAACAAGGATGTAGAAACAGGACAAATGGTGACTTGATCTATTATAAGCATAATAGAAAATGATTGGAGGTTCATTTTTGTCTTTTTCATCTAGAGCATTTCATCTTATCTTTGGTGTTACTTAAGTAAACAAGAAACAACTAGCTTTTAAGCAGATCAAATTGCTGATTTATCTTTACATAATTTCATCATCTGATGTTACCAGACAGTTGGTTTAAAAAACAAAACAAAACAACTTTTTTCCTTTGCAGGTAATGCCCTCATTAAATGTGGAGAAACCCAAAAAAGAATTGGAACAGCTGACAGAGAGCTGATTCAAACATCAGCCTTAAATTTTCTCACTCCTTTAAGAAACTTTATAGAAGGAGATTACAAAACAATTGCTGTGAGTTGGAAAATGTTCCTTTTTTTAAGCAAAATAATTTAGAAATATACTTGGAATTTTTAATGAATTTGCCTTCTTAATGACTGTGTAGATATAGAAAATTTGAAAACATAAATAATCTGGATACGTGCATGTTCACCAGAGTACAAAATTAAACCAAAATATAAAAGGCTATAGATAACATTACCTCCATTTTTGTGTCCTACAGTATTATTGAGATGCCTTTACATCCATTCTTATTTGTTACCAACACTAAAATCTAAAATTCATAGAGAGGTTCCTGGAATTATTGTGAAAATATGGTGCATAATAACACCATAGTATAGTCATGTAACTATTCATTTAAACTGGGCGCTAGAATCCTAAGTATTTGGAAGGTGTATCTGTTATTATACTTCATGTCTTTATGCATCCCTCGGAGTATATTCTCTTCTTTTTACACTATTGTTTTTTGCTGAAGTATAAGAAATAAATATTATATCACTTTCTCAAACCTAATCTGTTAGTCTTTATTTTTTAGTTTAACTTATTTTATTAGAAAAGTCTTTAGTCTCCATCACTAAGATTTTTGCAAGACAACTTCTTTATTATAAATACAACTTCAAACTTTAATTTGTAGATTCTTATTACAAAATATAGAAACTTTCAATATATTTACAATGGATTTGTCTCTGTGTAAACAAGTAATTGGCTTGAGACAGAAGAACAACCAAGTTAAAATATAATTTAAAAGATATTAGCTTGTCAGTAGGGTGAAATTTGACATATGGAACCTAAGAATTAATGAAGCAAACAACTATAATAAACTTACCTGCCATACAGAAGCATGAAGTTCCATTGAGGAGTACTAAGATACTGTGTTTGTTCATTATTCATTCCATAAATCTGAAATTCTGTTTTGGAGTAGTTGAGTTCCATTTGGTGCTATGACATGTTTGGAGCAGCCTGCCCAGTCCTTGTAGAGCACACAAGACCTCAAGGAACCCTGCCCTGGGCCCACACTTCTTTTGTCATAGATGTTCTCTGGACAGTCTGTAACAGCATAAAGAGGGTTTCTCAACCAGGTATCTGCTGACGTTTGGGCCTACTAATTCTCTGTTGTGGGAGCTGTACTGTGTTATAGGATATTTGGCAGCATCCCTGGCTTCTACCCAGAAGATATCAATAACATTCCTCCCACAGTTTGACAACTAAAATGATACTGTCAAATGTCCCTGAGACAAGGATCACAAAATATTAAAACTAATGTTCCCTCGTTTCTACCAACACCTGCCATCTTTCTTAGATTTCTCAGACATCTAGAATGTCACGATCATTTTCAAATTGAAAATAGTTTAGAAAAAGGGGTCAGATAGCTGAACCATCACTTCATACTCAGTTTTATAATCATAGATCTTTATCAGATGATACTTATATTTACTAAAGAGTAATATTTACATGCTTGAATTCTTACTGGATTTTAGAATCTTCAGCCTTTATTTTTTTATTTTCTATATTTCTAGAAAGAAAGGAAACTATTGCAAAATAAGAGACTGGATTTGGATGCTGCAAAAACCAGACTAAAAAAGGCAAAAGCTGCAGAAACTAGGAATTCAGTAAGTAATGTTTTTAATAGAAAAACATTTTAAGTTAATAACTTTAAGATTTGTAGAAAATTTTATCAATATGCCATGTATGATACAAGCTATCATTAAGAGCTAGAATATGACTTTAGGGTCTTGTTTTTATGTTTTTAATCAAATTTATCAGAACTTTATACATCCCAAACAGTGCAAAGGGATCATATCAAGAGGCGATATTCAGCTGTACAGCTGTTGCTAAAAAACAAAAACTATGGTATCTCCTAAAGCTGAGGATATTCTTTAAATATTCTCAGTGGCAATCAGAAATAGGCCTTTTGGAGATAGTTTTTTTTATATTTGGAAATAGCAAAGTAAAAAATTAAAAAGATAATTACTAAGATGAGAATGGATCAAGTTTGAGAATACTTATGTGTAGCTTAAAAATTAAATGAATTTCCTTCCTACGTGTGACTCAAACTGATGAAAAGAATAGTCCAAGAATTGTTTAAAAGCAATTCAAATAGTGGCAACATGGACTTCCAGGTAGCTTTTTCAAAGGGAGGAAACCCAGAAAATATACCAGAATGTTACTCTGGTATCCATATAATAGTCTTTTAAAATTGAATAGGTGTATATTAAGTATAACAATTCAATTTTTCTTTAAAAATTTCATTTATAAGCTTTATAGGTAAGCTAATAGTTATACTATCTAGATTTCCATTCCAGAGTTTGAAAATATTAAATCAGATTTGAATTGGAACACCTTTAAGAGAGTACAGTACAGCAAGTGTGAATTTGTTAGAGGAGGCTAACAAGCAAATTCTTAATTTGAGCTGAGGCATGAGATTCCCACTGCCTTCTGTTTCCAACTCACAACCACAACCACCATCAAGAATCATTGCCTTAATGAGCATATTACCACAGTACTGGTAGAAGTCTTAGTTCTCCTCTTTGAGGAAGGAAAGGTTGAGAATTGGTTTAGAGTGAAATTTAAAACTGGTAAGTTGCTGTTGGATAGTGATGTCTTGTGAGAATACCCCAGTACCTTATGTGAGCAGACTAAGTTGTTTCTTTCTATAGTATTCCCTTTTTTGGACATGTTATATTATCTACTGCTGGAGAAGAGCTATCTTTGATCAGACATTAATTCCAAATTCACTGAATTTTCAATTCACACTTCATCATCATCATAAACAGCATAACTTCCCCAAACAGACTGACTGCAGGATCAAACCTTTGAAAGTGAGCACTATAGGGAAACCTCCTCAGGTCTCCTCCCACTGTGGGAGTTTTTCTGTCCTCTCAATAAATCCTGCTTTAAAAAAAATCAGAAGCCATGCTCGGTGGCTCAGCCTGTAATCCCGCACTTTGGGAGGCTGAGGTGAGTGGATTGCCTGAGCCCCGGGTTCGAGACCCACCTGGGCAACTTGGCAAGACCTCATCTCTACAATAAATTTAAAAATTAGCCAGGTGTGGTAGCGCGTGCCTGTAGTTCCAGCTACTTGGAAGGCTGAGGCGGAAGGATCGCAGGAGCCCAACAGGTCAAGGCTACGGTGGCCGAGAGCGGCACTGCACTCCAGTCTGGGCGACAGAGTGAGACTCCAACTCCAAAAAAAAAAAAAAAATACACAGTGAACACTGTAGATGGCAAGAAACCCTAAATTACTTTATTAGTTTCTAAGTGCTAGTAATGAATTTGTATAGTAAGATGTAAATTGATATTTAATTTATAAATTTTATACTCAGGGAAAAAAAAGACAACAGTCATTTGGAAATAAATATTTGAGCTGGAACAGAATCTTTATTCAGAATGCCTATATGTACCCGGTGATGTTTGTAGAATATTGTTGTCAAGTTACAGTATAAAACTTTTTGTGGGTAACCCTTTCAAGTCCTCTCCTACTGTGGGAACTTTTCTGTCCTCTCAATGAATCCTGGTTTAAAAAAAAAACAAAAAACTTTTTTTAATAAACATTATTACAGGATAAAGATAACCTGCTTTTTCTACCTGAAAAAAGTGGCGGAAACACATAGATTTAATGGTATACAAAGTGCTTTTATTCTAATTTAATTTACAACTGCTATTAAAATGTATAAGAACTAAATGTAATAGTAGATCAGTTTGGAGTGATGTTTCCTTTTGCTATATCTAGAAAAAGTCTTGGCAATTTTCCTGTGTTGTGTATTGTTGAGGGCAAAATTTTTCTGTGGAAATTTATGTTTAAAATTAAAGTGAAAGATGATACAAATAACATTATTCCACAGTTTTATTTATACACAGCTCTTCTAGAACACTAGAAAATTTAACTCTAGACAAATATTAAAAATATTACTCTAAACTGGGCACAATGGCCCACCCCTGTAACTCCAGCACTTTGGAGGTGAGAGGATTGCCTGAGCCCAGGGGTTTGAGACCAGCCTGGGCAACCTGGTGAGACCTCGTCTCTACAGTAAATAAAAAAATTAGCAGGTCTTGGTGGCGCGCACCTATAGTTCTAGCTACTTGGAAGATTGAGACGGAAAGATCACCTGAGCCCAGAAGGTAGAGCCTGCAGTGGCTGTGATCATGCCACAGCACTCCAGCCAGGGCATTAGAGTGAAACTCCAACTTAAAACAAACAGAAAAAAATTAATCTAGACAAAAAGTCACATTTTCTAATTTCAGTTGTGTTCTTTATTCTCGATAGCCAACTCATTTTTCTTCAAATTTTATAATAGTAAGTCTAAAATACTTTGAGAAGGAGAAGTCCTCATAAAGCCTTGAGGCATGTGGCCTGCCTGTATTTGGTAATCCTTCTGGTTTTTTTCCCTGTGTGTCTCTCTAGTTTACTTAAAGAATGCAAAAGAATAGAAACCACTAGGAGTTTGGGTTTGCTTTTTTTTCTTTTTCTTTGACACATTTCCTGGTTCCTAGCTGGCAGCTGAAGATCCTACTCTAAGCCCAGACTGTCTTTGATTTCCCTTATTTATAAATTTCCATGAATTGTTTCATAACTAGTTACCCTTCTGCTAGTAAGGTTTAGGACCTGTGCATATCAGCACTTTTTAAAAAAATGTATCTGCTAGTGTCTTGTGAACTTCTTTTCAAATTCTGTATTTGCTGAATGCTAATTTTGTGCAAGGTACTCTACTGAGGGGTAAAGTAAAATCTCTGCTGCCTGATTAAATTTGTTGATGACTTAGTCCCATCATCAAAGTATTTCTACCTGAATCCACTATTGCTACTTTACCAACCAGTTTTATTAGTTAGCATGTTGAAGAATGGTACAGCAACATCAGAGGCGTTCTTCAAAAGTATACCAGTTGAGCAAGAAAAAGAAAACCTATTTTATTTAATGCTTTGCAGTGAACAAAAATAGAGCTTTAAAGTAATTTGTTTTATGATAAAAACTTAGTCAGAGAAGCCAGGGCAAAAATAGCTACGGATTGAGTATTTCTAACCCAAAAATCCAAAATCCAAATACTCCAAAATTTGAAATACATGGCACTCAAAGGAAATGCTCAGCTTTTTGGATTAGGGTTGCTCAACCAATAAGTATAATATAAATAATTCCAAAATCCAAAATCTACAACACTTCTAGTCTCAAGCAGTTCATATCAGGGATACTCACTCAACCTATAATGCATTTGAATCATAAAGCACCTGTGTTTACTAACCTAGTCTTAATCTCATATAAACTTTTAAGAAATTATTTTACAGTTTTTTAATGAGCGGGAAAAAATCAGCTGGTTTCAAAACTCTCTAGCGTTTACAAGTTTTGACCTCGGTTATTTTAAGGCATCCAGATTTGATGGGAAATATTTTTTCAAGTAAGGTCATATAGCAAATATGTCCCTCTACCTACTTAAGCATTTCCACAATGAGCCTAAACCTTTCTTTTTTTTTTTTTAAGTCAGTATCTCACTCCATCGCCCAGGCTGGAGTGAAGTGGCTCCAGCAATCCTTCCATCTCAGCCTTTCAAGTAGCCAGAACTACAGGCACACGCTACCATGCCTGGCTAATTTTTTTATTTATTGTAGAAACAAGGTCTCACCAAGTTGCCCTGGCTGGTCTTGAACCCACAGGCTCAGGCAATCCACTCGCCTTGGCCTCCTAGTCTGAGCCACCGAGCCCAGCCGTCTAAACTTTTCATCTGTAAACTCGATAAATTTACAGCACCGTTATATAATCTTAACTTTTTAAGTACACGTGTTTGAATTTAAAGTTTATTAGAAGTACAAGGGTTGACATGCCTTTCATATTTCTTCAGGATATGCCAAGACCTGGTTGAAACTGATAGAAAGAGAGAATGTGGTTGAAGGCATCATAAATTCATAAATAGAAGTGATCTTTGAATAGGAAAATTGTAGGTAGACAGAAGGACTTTCAGAGGTGAAACTTCAATAAAAGTTGTGGGGAACTGGCTGTTTTTTTTAAGTGATAATGTTTTCCCTAAATAATTGTAATTTAAATCTAGCAACAACCATATTTTCTGTTTTGAAAATTTGAGTTTTGGAAAAAATGAATATACACCACTATAGGAAATTTTGTAAAACAATAAATATAGTTGGGATTTTTGTTAAGGAGCAAAAATATTTTATTGGTTCTTCTATTTGTTTAATGTGTTCTTTATTGTACAGAAGTAACTTGTTTCACCGTGTTCATTGGTATAATGTGTTCTTTGTCTCTTACCTATGCACTTAAGCAACTAAACTCAGCTCGCCTTGAAGGAGATAACATTATGGTAAATTTCTCTTACATGCTCAACTTCCTGCATGTAAAATGGCTGAAGGTTTGTTGGCCTACTGTGTTTTCTACATCTTGAATAAAGTGCCTTCTCTTGCTATTAGCTGCATATAAAATTCTAAAATAGTCGAAGCCATGTATTCATTATGTCTAACAAAAAAATACAGGGAAAAAATATTAGCTGAAGTGATACTGGAACTTGAAGAAAAGAAATCGTGTGTTCTAATTGCCAAATATTATAGTAATGCCAAGTACATATTTTAGAATCTGAATTTATACATATATGCAGGACCTTTATGCACTCAGTAAAAGATGCTAATTTAAGCTGGCACTTCATATTTTCACTTTTGGCAAAGAAAATTAATGAAATTTACTTAACTTAGGTAAAGGTGTAAGGTATACAAATTGATCTTGCTTCTCTATAACTTTGTTTCCCTTATTTTCATCTAAACTCATCACAGAATTAATTTTTTCTCCCATTACAGGAAAGACAAACCCCAACAGGTTAGGTATTCCTTTAGTGGCCAGGCCCATTCTCCATCCAGTGCTAGTTAACTCACTTAAGAATTTTCAGAATGGTGATAGCCTTGAGCAAGAATAAAGATGACAAATTGTTTTATAGCACTAGGTGTATACATTGAGCTCAATTTGAGAAATTTTTTAAAGTATTAGAAGTTTTTTATTTTAGTAAAATTAAAAATTGTAAAATCTGAACATAGCCAACAATTTGTCACATTAGTTAATAAAATTTATATAGTGTTTTGTTTTATAAATACTTTACTTCCATTAGAGATGGCAAGGATTCTGCAGCACAGTTAATAATAAATTGGCAGTTCATTGACGGCTTCTATTCCATGAGCACTGAACTAAAAGCAGGATAACATCTTAACAGGAAAGATTGTACAGAATATGTAAAATGTTGTTTTGTTTTTTAAACTATAATTATTGACGCCCTGGTTAAATTAGGTCTTACTTTAAATAGCAAGAGAATGCATTCATTTATTTCCATTGTCTTATCTATAGATAAATGAAAAGGGTGAGAATATAAGCATATTTACATACCTTTTTGTCATAGGTTAAAAAAAAATCATCCTAAACTATTGTCAATACTTTGTTTCATTCATTAAACATTTGTTTTTACTACTGTCATCTACTTATAGTAAGATATATTTAACTCTGGTAATTTTGTATTTATTATATCTCCAGTTTGTTTCCCTAAAAAAAGGCTGTATCGGCATTCAGTGCCCATTAATCCTTGCTTTATTTCCTAAAATTCTAGAATTTATGCCTTAATGAGAAAATTAGAAATAATTTAGTCCAAACCTCTCATTTTACAGATGTGAAAACTAGAACGGAGGGAGGTTAGATATTTTCAATTTGGGGAAACTGTTAATTTATAGAATTAGCATAAGATTTAGAAATCGACAGTGTTGATACATATAAAAGGCATACTTTCACAATATTTTAAGCTCTACTGATTTAAACTGTGTAATCCGTTGATTTGATTCTAAAAGTATGCCATTTGAATTAAAATATTTACATTTTTCTATACTAGTTGTAGAAAATGTTAAATTCCAACCTTCTTTCATGCTCTGTATTTTTCTCTAATTTTTAATGCTGGCTAGATTTGGGCAGAGGAAGTGACAAAAGTAAGTAAATTATTAAACTACTGAATTTTGAAACAAAAATTTAATTGTCAATAAATATTGGGCAACCACCCTGGTTCCAATCACAGTCTGTGCTACTGTATCTTATAAAATTATAGAAATACTCAGATCTCTGGCTAATAGCTTTACAGAGCAGTAGAAGAGTACAGCAGAGATGTGGTTTGCAGACACCTGATAAATCTTAGATATCTGTTATATTAAGTGGTCATCATACAATGCCTTACTAGAAGACAGTTGAAATACTTGATTGATTTTTTTTTAATGACAGTTTTTAAAATGTAAAATATAGTTAATACCATGCCCTACATCTTCAGAGAATTGGACATATCAAATGAATTTTTTAAGTAACAAGCTTCTCTCCAGCACCAAATTTTTGTCAGTCATAATAGCTGAAAATATCTGTAACAAATATACTTTACTGCTACATTAAACACAGTATAGCAGATATTTAATTTTACTCAGTTTTGGTCATTATTATAAATACTCATTGTCGTTCTTTCAGATTTGTTAACTTGTTCAAGTATGTTGTCTTCTCCCTGTGTCAGACAGTTCCCTCTAGAAACTTGTCTATGTGACTGCTGCTGGCAGTCACTCTGCCTGTGTTCCCATGTGTAATCTTCTCTAGACTGTAAAATCAAGTAATTAAACAAGTATATAAGATATAAAATTATAACTTTAGTACAGACTTGTTTCAAATACTACTTTAGGTCTTCAGAAGCATTTTTCATTTATTCCTCATATTCAGGCCTACCAAAATCTGACCTCCACTTGAGGATGACACTGGGGAATAAGGGCATATGGTAATTGATTAACTAACTATTAATGCTTTGTAAACTTTAACTTATATTTTCTGTTGTTGTAGGATTGCTGAGTATTCAGTCAGTTTTATGTACAGGCTGTGGAGCTATTGATTCTATGACTCGAAAATCCAATGTGAAACTTTTGCCTTATGCTCTCATTCCCCCTTTGTGGAATCTGTTCCTCAATTTAGTTATAGTTCTACCATGACTTCTCATTTCTTCCCAAACTTTTAGTATGAAAAGAGACAGAGCAACAAAGGAAAGAATATAGGTTGAACAAGAAAACCGGGTATCTTTCCCTTTGGTTGGCTTACAGGTACACCAGAGAATTTCTGACTTAATTTTACAGTCTCTACAAGCTTTAGAAATAATTGATATAATAAATGGGAAGAAACGCAACCGTGTATATTGTATATATGTTTTTGGATATGAGTGGATTTGGGATTTTTTCCTCCTACACTACTTCTGTCATTTTTATAATTTAAAAATGTTCCTGGAATGTTTTAAGATTTTAAACCATAGGAAAAGTAGGTATTACCAACCACTATTGTCATAGCAAATGCTTCAGAAGCATAACAAATTTCTGTCTTATAGATCCCCAGTCCTAATGTCCAGACCAACAGGTTTTTGCCCATCTTCCAGTTACATCTTGAAAGAACCCCTCTTGGGCTGGGCACGGTGGCTCAAGCCTGTAATCCCAGCACTTTGAGAGGCTGAGGTGCGGGGACTACCTGAGCCCATGGGTTCCAGAACAGCCTGGGCAACTTGGCAAGACCTTGTCTCTACAATAAATCAAAAAAATTAGCCAGGCACAGTAGTGCGCTCCTGTAGTTTCATCTACCTGGAAGGCTAAGGCAGAAGGATCGCCTGAGCCCAGCAGGTCAACACTGGGGTAGCCATGAGCATGCCACTGTACTCCAACCTGGACGACAGAATGAGACTCCACCTCAAAAAAAAGAACCCCTCTTGTTTTCCTAACCCATGTTATACTATCATATAGTCTAAATCAATCAGTAGTAGTAATTGTTAGCAGTGTGTCTTTTCTCTAGCGATCACCTAAAGAACAGATATCAACCCTTTAAATCCATTGATTTTCTTTAAACCTTATCTGTCTTTCTAATAGGGGCCACTTCTTCCCAAGTAAACCAATTATACTGTACCTACTTTAAATTTTTGAGCCTTAGATGAATTATGGTGATGAGTTATACATGTCAGAAGTATACATGGTTTGGGACATTCAGCTATGTTTGAAGTATCCAAGATACACTGAATGAGATTTGTTCCTTTCCTTTCATTTGTGTTATCCAGATATGAAGGCTGGATTATACAAATGAATGACTTCCTAAGCTTTGTGATATAGTGCCTTTCCCTTGTCCTTAATGAGATAATTTAATATTTTTTAATTCCATATACTTGGCATTAAATCATTATTTCACTTCATTCTCAAGTTTCTTCGTCACCTTAGTCTGCTACCTAGCTTACCTGCTTAAACCTTGTATAGAAATATTACCATGTAGTAGAATTTTCTGCCATTTCAACTAAGGCCATTAAGACAGATTGTAATTTCTCAAAGACTTACATGAATCTAGCCTAGTTTACTTCTGAAGTTTGTTTATTTTTGGTTTGCTGTAGTTCTGTTAATCAAAGCCTTTTGTGTTCAACCAAGCAAAACAGTAAATGGTGCAAATGTTACATTGCAATGATTGGTTTTCCTTAAAGCTATCCTTAGGAAGAGCATTGATTCTTTTCTTCTCCTGGGACTTTTTTCTGCTTCATACTAGCTTCTAGATGAAGCTTGCTTTAGCCCTACTATCAAAATACCATGTATTTTGGTTTTAGTTGAGTAAGTTTAATTTCAGCTCTTGACTTATTGAACTCTTGAGTAATTCAAGCTTATTTCCGTAAACCCAATCTAGGGCTCAATTCTTATTTGTTGTAAGTAGAATATTATAGCAGCTGATTACCCACCTTGCTGCTGCTTCCTTTTTGACTGGCAATAGATTAACTGTTGCCACCAAAGGGTGAAGGAGAGAGGAGGGGTCTGAAATGAAAAGTTCAGACCTTATTTTTATACTTACTACATCTTGGAAATGTTGTCAACTATTTGCATAGGGGAAAAAAGCTATGTATTCTGGAGAGGTAGTAAAAAAAAAAAAAACCTTTATAATGACATTGTCACCAATAATGATACCCAGTAGAGGATAAGCTAATTATTTTGAATGAGCTGTGAGGCTTTATTTTCTCTTCCTCACTTACTGTAAACCAACTCTGGCTAAAGGCTTGATGTTTTTTGCCAGTATTTACTGTTTTTAGATCTTACTGGTTTTTCAGTGAACTGTTTTGTCCTAGCACTAAGCCTGTATTAGATAGTTGAAGCCAGGAATGATATGCTATTATATACATCTCCTCCCAGCTCTGCTGTCTGTGACTTCAACTTAGTAGCCTGAAATCAGTCGTGGTGGGAGTATTGATATCATGAAAATCTGGTTATGAGAGCTTTTTTTCCCTTGAGGAACAGTTTACCAGCATACCACTGGTTAAGGGTCAACCATAGCTTACAGAAAAACTTTTTAAAACCCTAGTATATGTCTTAACAGATAATATTTCTGCTTAAGGCATATTTTATGCATTGTTTGGAAAGAAAATTTTAAAGACATTTAAAATGTAGGACAGAGATTCTTTTGAAGGAACCTAAAAACTATGTTCCTAGGAACAAGTGTTCAGTAACTAAACACAAAGGTAAAAGTCTTTGGCTTTACTCTAAAGTCTTTGCATTTGAGACTGAAGACCATCTAACTTCAAAGTAAAACACTATAGTAATAATTGAGATTTTTTGCAGTAATATTATTTTATACTTGTAAAACTAGTAATCTTTGCAAAGTTGGTACTAGAAAATGTATGAAAATATTTTTCTGTCTTCTCGAGTATAGCATTAGGCTTTGATATTAATTGATGATTTTGAATCAAGTACTGGTAAGGAATCAGTTCTATCAAGGTTGAATAATATGGAAAAGCTGAAGTGGAGAAACTAGGGACCAGTTTAGATACAAAGCAGAATCAGGGAATTGTCAGATTATAACTTGGGGTTTACTTGAGGGATCTTTTAACTGTCTATACAAATGTATATAAGATGGACTGAACCTTCTAAGAGATTCTAAAACTGTGTTCTAATTTTAAGTCTGAACAGGAATTAAGAATAACTCAAAGTGAATTTGATCGTCAAGCAGAGATTACCAGACTTCTGCTAGAGGGAATCAGCAGTACACATGTAAGTATTCATTCATTGGAAATTCATTTCGAACAAAAGACGGATAGTTCTGAGGCAGTTTGGGGAGGAAAAACTGGACTTCCTTTTCAGTCATTTATCAAGGAAATTTAAATTGCGGCACTTTCCAAGATATGTCAAGAAATATTTTTTATTTTTGCTTATGCTGCATCTCCTCGTTCGCCCACCCTTGTCAAATCTACTTGTTGGTATTCTTTGGCCAAGCAGCATTTGTTACTGTACTGTTTACCAGGTCAATCTTAATAAGCTTTGCAGTAGGATGCTAGGTACTGGAGATTCTCCTTTACTTAATACAGTGTTGTGCTGTCTCCCATTGCATTTGCCACTTTACATATAGACTGTAGAGCTGAAAACTGACTGTGACTTTTCTTTATAGGCCCATCACCTTCGCTGTCTGAATGACTTTGTAGAAGCCCAGATGACTTACTATGCACAGTGTTATCAGTACATGTTGGACCTCCAGAAACAACTGGGAAGGTAATAACTTACTTTTCGCATATCAAACTCCTTTAAGAGAAGAAATTCCGACTTTTGCATATGAACTAATAGGGATGAAGATTAGAAGAATTAAAGGCTTTTCTTCACTTTCTTTAGAAACAGGGGAGTTTTTTTAAGGAAAGTAATTCACAGACTTCTTAAGTAGCAAAACACCTTGAGCTCTTCTGAAACAGAAGGATGTTAACAGGGTTGAGGAAATAATTTAAATGAATATGTTTTAGAGGTATATAAAGAAAGCTTAAAAGTGTTTGAGGTTCACTTTTCTCTTGCTACTGAATACTTTTTGCTGTTGGTTGAGGAAGATACAGTTACTTTGACACTTAGCTACCCTTAAGGATAAACTAATTCATGCTTATTCACTATATTGAAAAAAGTTTTAGAATATTCTGTCAGATCTCAAGTACACTGATGTGATTGTTTTGAATACGATGATATGTTTTAAAGCCAAGTGATAGTATGTAAAGTTCATAGCTCAGTTATTTATATATCAAATATTTATTGACTATCCACCATGTGCCAAGCACTGCTTTATATTCTGAGGGTCTATCAACAAGCAAAACAGGCACAAACGCTTGCCGTGAGCAACCCCCTCGGGTCCCCTCCTGTTGTGGGAGCTTTTTGGTCTTCTCAGTAAATCCTGCTTTAAAAAAACACACACACTTGCCTTTATGGAGCTCACATTGCAAAGTGACACTGGAAATAAAATAATGTACAGGACAACATGATCTCTAGTCTTCCAACACTTAAAGTCCAGGCAGAAGTACAAGCTATTGGCAGACAGGCGTGTGATACCAGGCATGGAAAGATAGACTTAGGTGCATCTAGCGAAGTTTCCCAGAAATTCTTTTAGTAGGAATAAGCTCGATTAAGAAGCGGGCAGGGATGAACATTCCAAGCAGAGGAAGAACATATATTTTAAAAGGCCAGAGAAGAGAGAGTAAGGCAAGTCCAGGGAACTGATTGTAATCCATTCTGGTTGGAGCACAGTGTTCAAGTGGAAATGGTAGATGAGTCTGGAGGAATTAAACAGAGCCACACTGTGACTGGCCTTTAAAGCAAGGTATGGTCAGGAGTTTGAAACTGACACAGTGAGGAACCCTCATAGCAAGGGAGTGATAAGTGACATCTGAGGGAGAACTGTCAATACAAAATTGTTTCAAAGGATAAGATTCTTGTTGTTGTTTTAAGTCATTTTGGCACAATAATCCTTCAAGACTGGACCTGGAACAAAACTAGGCACATCCACCCAACCAATTATAGCCTAGTATCATTAGGTAGTCTGATAGGGTTTGCAGAAGGATTTGCAGTTCTATATATTCGAGGTTCTGTTAGTGGTATTGATATCTGAAGGCAGAACAATACTTTATCCTCACATTATTACAACTATTTTAAGCCCAGGAAGCCTTCATGCTTGTTTTCCACTTTGCCCTAAAGCTCTGTGATTATTCTTGTTACCATTCATATGTGCATTCTGCTTAAAAACTCAGCCATTCAAATACAATGTAGTTATTACCCTGTTACTGCACTTTAGGATAAGCTCCAACACAAAAAGTAAAACCAGTACTATTATTCTAGAGGAAAAAAGTCTAGCTTGTCTCTCTGTCCTCAGAGTTACTGCAAAGATCAGGTGGCAGTGGGAGAAATCTTAGCCCTTTGTTTCAAGAGAGGCTTTTAAGGCAGTACATAGAAATCTTCAAATGTAGAGCTTCACAAATTACTCAGATCCACACTAACAGATTCAAAAGCTATTTATGAAGAAGAGAACCAGGTTGTACTGTTATGAGTTATAATAGCAGTACCAACAGGAAGTAGTCATAATTGAATAAGAGCAACCACTTCTGTAGGGCTTAAGTTGTTCCCAGGTATTCTTCCACACACCTTGTATGTAATGTTAACTTTATAATCTTCACCACCAATTGAGGTGGGTACTATCACTATCCATATTTTAAAGATGAGGGAACAGAAGAACAAGATTAGTAAATGTATCTTGTTTTTTAATAATTGGAAGACTTTTACATATCAGGCTACAGTGGCTTGACATTTTTGTAGGGTGAAAATGGCCTTTCTTTGACCTTTAACTCTGAAAATTGATATAGTTAGACCTCATTGATTTATACTAGCAAATTTGAAAATAAAATTCCATGGTTAGAGAACTTAAATTACCATGGCATATAGATATACATATGTAGAGCATTTGTTTACCTTCAGACACGTATGAATTTAATCCCTGCACAGTAACTGAGTTCACTGAGGAAAGGATGTTGGGAGCTGTGGTCTTCATTTTAGAGAGCTCAACCTGTGTTAGTAATCATTTTGAGCCCAAAAGCTTGAGACCAGCCCAGGAACCAGTAAGACTTCATCTCTACAAAAAGCTAGCCAGGCTTGGTGGCGCACACCTATAGTCCCAGCTACTCAGGAGGCTGAAGATAATATTATAAGGATAGCTGTGAAACAGAATTTCAAGGATTTAAATTGGAATACCACCTGAATTATCTCTGGTATAACTGGCCCAAGAGGGAAAGGGGAGGTTGATGGCACACCTTGTCACTGAAGTATTGTTAACATCTGTAAATCATTTTTCAGTGTGAAGGTTGGTAGGAAGTAACAGTGCCACCACGTGGTGGCATTAAGGAACTGTAATCACTTGGAAATGAGTAGCTGACCATTTTCTTTTCAACAGTTTTCCATCCAATTATCTTTGTAACAACAATCAGACTGCTGTGACACCTGCACCATCCGTTTTACCAAATGCGATTGGTTCTTCTTCCATGGCTCCAACAAGTGGCCTCGTAATCACCTCTCCTTCCAACCTCAATGACCTGAAGGAGTGTAGTGGCAGCAGGAAGGCCAGGGTTCTCTATGATTATGATGCTGCAAACAGTACTGAATTGTCACTTCTGGCAGACGAGGTGAGCAGTGGGGACAGGAGAGGGAAAAAACGTCACAAATTGACATACTTTCTAATACCACAAAATGTAGAGTCCCCATTATGTAGAAATAGTTTATCATGAATGTTTCATAGATTTCAGATGGTTAGATTAACATTTTATGAAATTTTAATTACTATTCTTTAACATACTAGAATATCACACATATTTAAACCTTTCAACTGCTCTATAACGAAGATATAGAAAACTGCCTTCAACAGAATCCTTTATCTTTCAGCAAAATTGCAAATAATGTTCAAAGTCCTTTGAATAATTTAAACAGATTTAAAACAAATCTGATTAGTTTTCTATGTGTTTATTTTTCCATATAATTAACTAGAAATGTCTTATTTTGTAGGTGATCACTGTGTTCAGTGTCGTTGGAATGGATTCAGACTGGCTTATGGGGGAAAGGGGAAATCAGAAGGGCAAGGTGCCAATTACCTACTTAGAACTGCTCAATTAAAAAGGTGGACTACGGAAAGATTTCCATCATGACATTGTATTTATATACAGTTAACTCTAAATAAAAACAGATTTAAGTATCCTCCATGTTAATGTCTTACGGGACTGAAAAGAAAATACCAGCCATCAGAAACTGACCTTTCACCAATAAAGTTGCATGGTAGATATTTCATTACAGAATTTATGTTAGAGCTTTCGTGCCAAGAATGTTTTCTTAAAAATTATCTTTTTACTGAGGTTCCACTAATAAGCAGCTTCTACTTTTAAGCCTCAACTTAAAGCAGAAGAACTGTTTTCTACTGAATTTTTCATTAACAGCAAGCTTTTTCTTTTATGTAAAATAAATCTATTGTGAATTTATATCAGTGACTCATTTATTAGGTATAATTAATAGCCAAAGAATAAAATTAAAATTTGTTTTAAACTTTGGTTTAAAAAAGAGGCCTAGGAGATAAACCTCTTTTGTGAAGAATAGAATGTGTCTGAATGCATCCATAAACAGAAATGCAGTTATACCATGTTTACCTTACTTTCCAACAGAAATCGAATTATTTCAAAACTATGTTTTGATGGATTATTTTGGGTAGTTTTTTTTAACACTACTGAATGGTTTCTCAATTTAAGAACAACTAGTTCTTGAAAAGCATTACCATATTTTGCTAATAAATTTCTAGTCAAGGCTCTAAAACACCTGGGTCAAATTCAGTTCACTAAACAATGTTTTTAAGATTATTCAATTGGCACAATTTAATGCATAATCACAATTGGATCCCTTTAGAACATACTGCAGTACAGTAAAGAAGATTTCTTACTGAACAATAAAATTGTATAAAAATATGGATTAGTGCAACCACATTCATTATAGAATAAATTGTATACAAATAAAATTTTAGTTACTCTGAGCTTACTGTTAAAATATTGAAAATTTATTAATGAACATAGGTTATCTTGGTCAGGATCTCTGGTTATGAAACACACTAATGAAATTATTAGTGACATATTTGAAATCAGAAAATTACTATTTAGGCCATTGCTATAAATCAGCAAATTGGCATATTGTTTCCATGTTAAGACTTCTATTCTCATTCTCATTCATTCATTCAACAAACATTTGTTGAGGGTCAGGTACTATGCTGATCAACTGGAGATACTATCCTGAGCAAGATGCACAAAGTCCTCACCCCTGCAGAGGTTGAAGACCAGTAAGGGATATAGAAGATTACACAAGCAATTGTCCCATTGCAGGATTAGTGCTATAATGGAAGAAGCACAGGATGCTGTCTTTGGAAGTCACCTGACTCCAACTGAAGGAGTGAGAGATGGTTTGGGCAGGAAGTGATCCAGGTGGAGGAATAAAGATGTGCCAGGCTTATAGCCCAGAGAGTAGCACATTCTGACAACCAGAAGTAATTCATTCTGGCTTAAGCGTGAAGTTCAAAAGTGTAGGTCGTTCATTTATTCAGAGAATGGTAATCTATCAAAAAAAATTTAGGGTACTTTAAAAAAATGATGACTACTTAACCACAATTTTTAAATATCCTTTTGTGTTAAGAGCTCCTAATAAGAGTTTGGTAAGCATGTTGAAAACTAAATTCACAGTCCAAACTTTAATAGTAGTTGCTACCTTTTTAATTCTGTGCTATGAGACAGATTCTTCTACAGTTTATAGCTGTACAAGATGTTTTGACTCACACTCTGAGTTGCCATATTCTTAAAGGACCCCAAAGCTGCTCATGCTGGTTGGCCTTCTAGAGAACCAAATGAATGAAGCCCTCCCACTCCCGAAAGGACATTCTGCAGCCTAGGGAACCATCTGTTATGCTATGTAAGTCCAGATTCAGGCTTTGAAAGGTCATACCAAAACCTCAGGTCAACTTAAACAGCACTAAAAATTAGGTTTATGAGAAATAGAGTAATAAGGGAGACGGTATGAGTGATGGAGTGAGATGGCCCTGGGTTCAAATTCAGTCTTCCTCAATACTGTGCCTTTGAGCTTCAACTCAGATGTATAACTGCCTTTTCCTTACCAGTAAAATCAGGATAATGATTACCCTACCTTGGTGAGGATTATATAACAAATGTTATCCGTAATTCAGGTTCTTTTCAGGGACAGGCTTGGCACGTAGTAAACACGTTCTGTGAATACCAGTTTCCCCTTGCTGACCCCGCTGCTCCCTGACCACCTAAGACAAGGGACCTCGCTTGTCTCTGTGTACCAAGGATGCCTCTTACATCTAGGCTCTGTTTCCTCCCTGTAGTCCTATCCTCCACCCTCTTAAAAATCAGGTCCCAATTTAAGTTTAACCTCACAGACATTATAAATTCTTTACATAACTTTCTGCTTTCATCAGGTAAAAGTTCATTATAATCATCCAGTAATGTACAGAAGTCTTCAGTGATGTTAAGATCCAAAGACTTCTGGTACCTTTGTCTCCCACAGAACCGCCACAGTATATAGTCCTCTTATGTTTATTGCTTTTTATTTTAATGAGGTTTTGTTTGCCTGGTTGGTTGGGGTTTTTTAATTTTGGTTTTGGCTTATTTTAAAGTCATAGGCTGTTTTGTTGTGGTTTTTTTTATTTTTTTTTTATTTTTGGTGTGAGTCTCACTATATCACCCAGGCTGGAGTGCAGTGGCATGTACATGGCCGCCATCCCCGGCCTGCTGGGCTCAGGTGAACCTTCTGCCTCAGCCTTCCAAATAGCTGGAACTACAGGCACTCATTACCGTGCCCAGCTAATATATATATGTTTTTTTTCATTTACTGTAGAGACGAGGTCTCGCCAAGTTGCCCAGGCTAGTCTCAAACCCCTGGGCTCAGTCAGTCCTCTCGCCTTGGTCTCCCCAAGTGCTGGCGTTATAGGCTTGAGCTACTGCACCCAGCCAATAGGCTTCGTTTTTATGCAGGTAAAGGCCAGTGAAGGTTTTTAGGCATGGAAGAACAAGCCTGGGAAGCCTATTCATGATGAAATTCAGAATTGTTTAAATAAGCTCTGTGCCGCTGAGCTTACTCGAATACAAGAAGGATGCCTATACGAATGAGATAATAAACTAGGAAATAATTGTAGTCTCTTTTACAAGCAGAAAATAAATATGATTATATTATGTCTGTCTTTGACCTTGGAGTAGTCTAACCCAAGAGGTTGTGGTGTTAAAACTTCTTTTGATGGTGCTCATATTAGAGAAAAATTCATATTGTGGGAGATGAGGTCCCAAAAATGAGCCCGTGCCTTACTCTGCATAACATGGGATCTAAGAAATCCAAGGCAGGATCACCAGTGGGTTAGAATCCATCCTCATAGCCTCCTCCTGGCCTCCCCCAGGACCAAGGAAGAAAATGAGACTAGGAAAGCTGGTGTTGGGAAGACGTTTCTGAGATAAACTGCAGAAATGATGTAGGACACGGCAAGAAACCGTTGACTTGCTCACCCAGAGGCCCAGCTTACCTCTACACCTTGATGACAGGATTCTCAAAAAACCCCTTCCCTGTCTCCCAAATACCTGGAATTTCAAAATATGTTGCCCTAGGACAGAGCCCTTCCAGCTCTGGTGAGGAGCCATCATGGAGAACTTGCTTCAGAGGTGAGCCCACAGCCAGCTTTGCCTCAGCACCTCCAGATAAGGTGAAATGGCTTTTGCCTCATGAGTCTGAAAAGCTGGGGAGGGAGTTCCCTGACCACACCTGCCCTGGCTCCCAGATTATCCCAACTGGAAAGTCTACTCAGGAGAGCAGTGGTCCTCAAGGTGTGAGACCTCAGCCAGCAGTACCGGCCTCTAGAAACTTGTTAAAGATGCTAATTACAGTTTTCAAGTGCTTTGTGCTTTCATTTGTTGTCCTCTGTTTTCACGGGCCTATGGAATTAGTCTTCCATGTGACCGCTTTTTCAATACTTTAAGATAAAACCTAAGTCTTTACCATGTCCTAGCACTCATCATAATTATGTTATTCTTGTAATTTATTTGTTTAGTATATACCTGTCACTCTGGAGTTTAGGCACCCTGAGGCACAGACATCTTTGAATCTCCGTTAATTTCCCAGCTCTTAGCACAAGATGTAGCACTTAGTATGTACTCAATAAATATTTGTTGAATGAAAGAAAAGGCCAGTTTGTAAGCCTTCCCCAAGGCTTACTGAATCAAACTGTGGGTTTGGGACCCAGCCATCTGTTACAACAAGCCACTTGCGTGATTCTGTTGCACTCCAAAGCTTGAGAACCACTGCAGTAGACCTAGGAGAACTTACATTTCACCTTCAGACCTATTCTCTGACATTACTTGAAAAATTGCCTCTGCCTTCCGTAACTCTTGCTGACAGCATTGCTCTCTTAACTGTAGGAGGACCTTCTGGGCTGTATTACAAGTGGTTATGAAGACAAAAGGATATGCTTAGTGGGAAATGGTGCTTAGAAAATGCCAGCACTTGGTTGCTGTGGAAGGTTCCTAGGCATGAGTCGCTTAGCCTAAAGAAGGGTAAGCGCTGCCACCATCCGTATTTTCACTCAGCACAGTGCCTTTAAACTGGTTACTAACATCAGGACACCCTGACAAACCGTTAAATCAGTGTCAGACTAACATATGTAGACATCCCTGTGCCTCTTAGATCGCTAAGTTCTCTCATTCCTACTTCAAAGGGGACTTTTTAAGAATTGTTGAAACTTTTTAAAAATAGAAGTCAGAGCCACATGGGCAAAAGAAAAAACCATATATATAGTTAAAAAGATGAAATCACCTGTAATTTTACCATCCAGGAAAAACTGTTAGTATGTGGCCTTCCAGACTTTTCTGTGCATTTATAGATTTTTTTAATGGGATCAGATTGTACATACCGTTTTGTAACTTTTTTCACTTGATACCATGACTATCTTGCTGTGTCAAATATATTTCTACATCTTTTTTAATGGCTGCATGATATTCCATCGTATGTGCCACATTTTATTAAACCACTGTTGAATTTTTAGGTTTCCAACTTTTCGTTAATAAAGTTCTTTAAAGAACATTGAGTTGCTCAGTCTTTTATTTGTTCTTAATTATTTTCTGAAGATGAATACTTTGAAGTGGAGTTGCTAGTGAAGAGGGTTTGCCAGTGTTTAGAAGCTTTTGTGGGTGCCACGTTGCCCCCTAGAAAACTCAGCAGCTTTGCACTTTTATCAGCAGTATGTGAAAGTACTGTTTCTTTTCGGAGGGCTTCCAACTGAATGTTCTTGGAGTCTTTGGCTTAAAAATGAAGGGGAAGAAGAAGATTTTTAAAATGCTAAATTAAATATCAATCTTAATTTTCTTAAATGACTTCATTACTCTTCCTTCTGTCATGTATTTTGTGATGTGCTGGGAGTGTTTGTAGTACTAGCTACCTCTTGCTT